GGGGGGGGGAGGGCGAGCGAATTCCCCGAACAATCATCATCAGTCTGGATTTTGCCGTGGGGACCCGTTATTTGAACCTTCAAGGCTTCGGCTACTTCTTCGCTCACCACCCATTTAAACAATGCTTCCGATAGCCGAAGTTCTGATTCGCAGACACGGTAAAGGATGGCGGTCACGCAATGCGTCTGCGTCGCAATATCTTCATCGCCTGAAACTGGTTCTCGCTCCAACACCGTATTAGTCCTAGTGCCAGAAGTACCAACTACTTGTGGATGATCAACCAGCCCATGTGAATCACCAGCAGTGGTAAACGAAATGCTTATAGTACTTAAGGGTAAAAGTGAACGAAACTACGCTCCTAACCAAATCGGTGCAAATACTTTAGACTACTGACTAACCGCGAGTAGTAGTTTTGGTGACGAAAGTTTGATTTAGAAAATGCTGAATTTTTGAAGTTTGGAGCACAATTTCCGCCGCAGTGATTGATGGCCGACGTCTTGTAAATCGCCCACCATGTTTGTATGGATGGAATAAAAGGCGCAGAACTGGCAAGTCGAACTGGGATGTGGCGGTTTGTGGTTATCGCTTAAGAGCTATCAACAGAAGGGATTTCACCCGCCCAAATCCAACGATCGTTGAACTTGCTAAGCCACAGCAACAAAATTTGGAAACGACACCCAAGACAGACTAGCAGTTAGGTTCTGAAACCCCAGCTTAGTTGGTATTTTCCTCCTAAAACCCATCGAGCGTAATCAACGGGAACTTCTGGTCGACATCCAATACTGCATGGTATGCTAGTCTGAAGATATTTTGTTGGGTGTCTCTCCGTTCATTTCAGATCTCCGTCACTTTTGTAACCTTGTAACTTGGCCTAAAAAACGTTTCTCTCAGCAACTGGGCCTTGCTCAGCACTAAATTTACCGACTGTATACCCAAACTGGGATTTTTGTTTCCTTTTATTCAAAACTAATGTTTAAGCGGACCATGTCGGTGCGGAATCTCCTTGATGTGTCTCGTTGACGCGGACACTGATGACGAAGACTCACCCTCCCTTCTGTTCTTTGCCATTGTTACCGTGCTAAAAAACAGTCAACTGAAATAAATGGTAGTCGGTCAGTTTGTCGCGGAAGTCTATTGTGATTTGTAATTACGCTAGGAAGTTGTACACCATTTGCTAATTGTTATGTATGTTTTTACGGTTTAAATTCGGAATTTGTACACATTATCTATTTCGGCCCGTTCAGAGTGAGGCAATCGACACGGTACTTAATAAATGGTCAATTGGTCACTTAGGGCCCATCACGTTCTGGCCGTCTGATGGCCTGCAACAGGCCTCTGCACGTTCGTCCGCCGAGCTTATTCCATTAGCGTCCGGAAATTGAACGCATCACCCGGCTTGGTTCAAACCGCTTCTCCTATTTGCTCGAACACTGGAGCATCGTCTGCTGATTGGCTGCTTCAGTGCCCAATCGGCGACTAGCTTGGCAATGTTCCTAAATGTTGGCTGTTGATCAGATGACAATTTGTTTGTTCAGTGAGCTTGTCAATCGGCCCGCATACGTATCGCCACTACCACCTGATCAACAGCCGGCAGCTGTCTTTTCCGACTCGGACAACCTTTGTGAGGTGATTTCGGACATGCTAAGGCTATTTTCAGCAATCTCCCCCATGTGATATTTGGCTTCCATTTTTCTCACGCAGATAAATCTGCCTTCTCTCTCTCTGTTCATTCCAAACCTCCTCAAAGCTACTCGGGTTGACTATGAAACACTCGCCCCCCTGTTGAGTCGCATATTTACATCCGTCATGGATTCTTCGTCCGATAAGACTGAGAAGGCCAGAAGTCGTCGAAAGTCTCACCCACCACCCTCTGGCCTACCTCGTTACGTACAGCGCTGCGTTCTGCACTTACTGGTCACTCTTTATGCGTATGCTGGACCCAAGTTCCTTGAACTGGTAAAGAACTCCGAAGCAAAGGTATGATACCTCTTCCCACCTTACCTTTAGTTCTTGGTAGACTTAATCTGTCTATCATCTCCACCCATTCGTTTAGTTAGAGTCACAACTGACAGCTCTTTCCTTCAAGTTCTGTTTTATCTGTGATAATTGAGCCTAAACTGAGACATGGTGAGGATTAGCTTGCATTATGTTGTTTAAATTCCCCTAGTGAAGCCAAAAAGAAGTCAGGAACACTTGTATGTTGTAAACGGTGGCAATTTTTTGGAAATTCTGACGCGTTCTAGCTGCGCCACTGTCAACCGGCATTCGGCCAATACTGGCCCGTGATTGGCTGTTGGGTCCACACTTTCGAACAATCAGATCTTGATGCCGGACCGGCAAGCGTCCCGAACTTTTGGTCAATCTTGTGCGGGAAAGGCTTCTTGGCCGTAGCAGTGCCTGAATACGACCAGTAAATTGGGATCATTGTGGAATTCGGCCTAACGCACTTCGGTTCTAATCAATGCCGACGAAGAGAGAGACAAGTTTGTGGTACCTTTGCGCTACGAAAGGACCGTATTTTTAATTGGTCATTTATGGCTGACAAACGGCTGAGTTGGGGTCTAAAAGCCGCCAGACTCTTAGGCATCATCAACACGAAATTTTTTATTGCTGGCTAGGTGAGGTATAATGTGTAGACTTGCGTCAACCAGTGAATCAGGCCTAACTTCCTATGGTGGGCGTCCGTCGGTAGTAAATCAAATGAATCTCTTCTGGTCTGGCATGTGTGAGTTGTTCGGGGCACAAGTTAGTGCGATACAAACGAGTTGATTGTAATCTGCCGTTTGTTCTTTATCTAGTCATATACTAAAGACCGGATGGCTATCCTGCCAGTTTTTTCATCCTCATTCGGCAAGCGCTTGTCGCTCAGCAATGTTTATTTCGAATTATACTGAGGGGCTTCAGTTTTCCACAACCATTTGTTCAATCGTGTATTCAAGGTGTCACACTTTTGGCGAACGGAGAGTCGTGGTTATCATTGTCGACGGGATAACATGAGTTTTGAACTGATGCTTCACTATCGTACAAACATAATTTATTTTGAACCTCTACTGTGAAGAGAAGAGGATAAAAATACACGGAGAAGCAGTTATCGCTAGCCTAACGCAAGTATTCTGAGGTGCTCACACCTCCAAACACTGATTCAAGTAGTTTGGATAGAAACTGACAACAAGAATGCCACTGACACCGGTTAGTAGCCATATCTTGCGGCCTCTCTAACCAGGTGCAGTTGAGATCACGTGGTCCCCATCCCGGATCGCGATCTCGATCTCTTTCATACCCACTGTCGAGTCAAAGATTGGCGGACGAAGAAACACCAGATACAACCCATACCTAAGCCTTCATCATCCAGTAATTTGCCGAAATCCTACCTAATTTACGTGCATCGATATTTTTCATTAACGCATCTACTGTGGCACATCATGCTAAAAACAAAGAAGTCCACTTTGATAAGTTTCAGCAGTCCGCACACTCGGTGACGATTTGTTCCACTAATCTCATCTGATGTCTCATTTGTCCTCAAATCCGATTTCACTTTTTGACTTCCTCATCCACCTGTGAACATTGCTCTTGCTAATGGTGTCATCTCCCTAAACGTTGACTAGCTTTGTATGTCGAGCGGCTTGAACCGTCCTTTCATTGCAAGCTCATTGATGGTCCAATGCATCGATTCAAAATCCACTTCAATTGGAAGTAACGGCTAGTCTTCGACAGTGTGGAATTTTTCCGATGCACGCCAGCTACTTGTGGTGTAACACTAGCATATTTCGTCTTCAAGCATATACCAAGTCACGCTGAATTTCAGCCAATTCTGAGAACAGCGCGAAATATTTATGGAATTTGGCGGTAGCCTGCTTCTTCGTTCTCTTCTTATTCTTGCTCTTGCTCTTGCTCTTAGTACACTCTTCCCTGTTTTTCTTCGGGGCCCTTGAAGAAAGTAATTTATGGACGATGTACACTGTATTCAGTTATCGTGGATTGATTGATTAGCCCTCAGCCATACCGCTAGGGCGTGACGCGTTCGAAAGGGTTGCATTATGCTCCACCGTACCTCATGGACGCAGTGAAGATCATATATTTCATACTACTTATAATGCTAACAGTAATCCAAGTGAAAAGTTATTTTTCTGCTCCTCCCGCCAATGACTCCGCTGATCTCTCACAGTGGCTTTCCTAGGTAAATCGTCACCAGTATGTCCAAAAATGTGAAGTGTTCTGATCCTTTGCCGTCTGTGCTATTCAACATCAAAATGAGAGTGAAAATGTTGATTACTTATTTAGTTAGTTAGTCATTCTGTTCAACTCCAGGATTTCTTCCGAGCCTCTAGGTCTTCCTTAAGACAGTCAGCTGTCAGCGCACCGCCCAAATACAGACGTGCTACAATCTCATCCCCCTATATTGGTCTCTCATTGATTATCATTGCCAGCCTCTCTCTGTCTTTGTTCAGAATTCCGGTCGCCTAGTCTCATTCCTGATGGAACTTGGTGAACTCATGCCAAATGCTCCCTATCCGCCTGGCCTATCAGGAGTAGTTAGACGGGTAAGTCCACTGGTAATTACCTTCCTGTGACCACCAATTCATTCTAGCTTCCGTTGGTTAGTTATGGTGTTTTTTCGCTCTTCTCCCTTAGATGCTCCAATTGCCTGATATTTCGCCCGATTCGCAAAAACATAACGTCCAGTAACAACAGCCTTTCTTACCCGATCTACTTTGATGTTCTATTTTTGTCTCTGATTTTATATCCATTTCTTCTACAAAAAATGTCTGCTTTCTCTTTGGACCTGTCCTGCGGCCGTATTCGACACAAACCAGAGTGTGTAGTGGCCAGATAAACAGATTAAAAATGCTGATGTATTCAACCGAGATCAAGCTTCGTGTTCCTTTTTTGCTGACTATTGTTCTCTCTCCCGAGAGAATCTATTCAAGAGATCATGTTCCAGCACAACCCTGATTTCTTTGGCTTCCCAGAGTGGAACGGCGAATGGTCTTCTAAATAATTTAGCAGGGTCCTGGTTAAACCAATGGCGGTGATGTCCTCTTATAACGTCGAGTCTGTTCAATCCGCACTGCAGCTTTGATTTACCATGGAAACCGCGTCATCCAGCCTCTGTAAAGTAAGAACCGTTCCTGTAGACACCGAGCGACTGCTTTCTGCTGTCATGCTAACTGGAATTGAGGAATATTTAGATCGTACCTGAGGTTATCTGAGCTCGACACCACATGGTAGCTGAGAGATTTCTGCTTCGCCCTCGAATGTTGCAATGGAGGTTGGTATTTAGTTGACCCGATGATATCTAGTTGCACCCAACGTCGATAAACGGTTACGGGGTTCTGTTCTGTTGAGTGGACAAACTATGGTATTCTCCTTTCTTCCTAAATCCTGACACTTGTGTCGGAAAGTGCGATAACACAGTGTCGTTCCCCAAAGTCCTGCATGGATTTCATTCAACATTCACTTTGAACTAGCATTCGGAAGGGCGGGATAGGAAGGGTGCATTCCTGGTGGGAAGCGTCCCCAAATGATTTAGTTTTATACTCATGAGCGTTCGAATGAGTAGTTGACTGAGTCCATGATTTCCTGAAAACCACATAAGGACAGGTTGCGCGTTGCTGACACTTTTCCAGTCGTGATTCTCATATTTAACCCGTTTGATTAAATTGCCTGGTACTGTACGTCGAACCTCACACTCAGCCTTATGGGAATGAAGTCAGTTTCAGAACAGCTACGTCTCCCGTATTTTCCTGTATTTTCGTACTACTCATCAGTAGTGCAGAATGGACGTGTGAACGTCGAGGGCGTTGCTTATGACGAATAGAGAAAGAATCAAAAGTCGAATACACTTGATAAGTTAAATGGTTCTCTCTGAGGAGGGGCTATTGATATCAAATAGTTGGGTGGTGAATTCTTTTCACATTTTACAAGTCCTAACGAGGCAGCTTGAACTTTCCAAAAGTCGATTTTGGATCTCTCCCTCGCCTTTTTGTCCTTCGGGTAAACTGGACCAACAAGTATGTGAGGAAGGAGAACCCCTAAACCGGTAAACATACTTAATGCACTATCAATCAACTCCTCTGATTGTACCTGATTTGATGGGGGTACATTGGACATTTTTTGGAATGACCTTGCCACCTGCACTATGCGATTGAACACTGTCCCCCTTAGGTATTATACGGAGCTAATGTGACTTCCAAACACGGTCCACGTAGATGGGTTACATCCTGATCGCATACAAACTCGGTTGTTTCAACGGACACAGGGGATCCCAGTTCGAAAAATGCTTGGACACTCCGATTTTAAGTTTTTAAGGCATAAAAATAGATGTGAAGGCACTAAGAGTATGTATAGCTCGTTTAGGGTTGTAGCTTTAAGACTAATTGCGACAACGTTCGAGTGCGCATGGAGTGATGGGGGTTAGATGGATCAAGTGGTTAGAGTTCGAATTTAACCAAGAGGTCCGTGGTTCGAACCCGACCTTTGCCTCTCGACTTCCTCTGTCTAGACTTGGGCGACCTGACAGTATCCTAGCCCTTGTGCCTCATCCGTGTGGCACGGCAGGTAGGCACCGAAAGGGTGCTACAGCTGGATGACCGAAAGATTAGTGTTCAATCTACTGACCTGATGTTCGCGGGTTCGAAACTCCCTTGAGTTTCGTGTACTGCACACACTTGATCTCAGGTACGGGTGATTCTCAGCTTTTCCGCACAGATTGGCTTTACGTGCAGAACGAAATCTTACTTGACCACATTATGTCGAGACATTTTTGGGATAATCCTTGCCGACCAATCGTGTCAAGGAGAAGAGACCAGTCAGCTAAGTCAGATGAGCCTTGGAATTCCGGATCTACTGGAACTTTGGGTCGCTTGTACTCATAATGTTACTCTAACTGCTGGGAAGTCTGGTAATTTGGTCAATACAAGCCCTATCAGGCCGGAACCGTGCTCGTTTCTCTCGAGTCAATCCTTCACGAGCCTCCAGAGCTCACCGAATGACAAGTGACGGCAGGAGTCGGGTTACGACCCGCTGAGCCCTCTTTTACAGTAGGGCAATATTACTGATTGTCCCCAGGTGTCTCCTGTCACCAGATGCATGCAACTAGACCAGACAAGCTTTGACTGAGTAACGTAGCTATTTCGAGCTCAGCCGAATTTTCATTTTCAGCTGCCACGTCCTCATTTCCAGTCACACTTCTTACCGCTTTTCGGCGCTGCTAATTTTTAATATGCCCAAACAAACACATCATCTTCAGGTGCTTGGGTTTCCTCACGGTGGGGACGTAAACTAACTAAGCACGAAACTTGGCGCTATTACCAAAACCTTACAAGATCAAGTCATGTTCAAGTGAAGTCGACTCCCAAATAGAGCTGCCCCCTGATTCCATTGGCGATGGTCGTTAAACTTTTTTTGTCTGGAGCTTGAACGACGTATTTCACGGACAATCGTGACTTGTTCCTGCAAAAAAATACGAGTGACGGTGAAAGATAACCAAGAACATTCTGGCAAGGTCCTGAACATTTTGAAACCATTTCGGCCGTCGCATTGTCCAGTTCACTTGAAAACATCATGTACGAAAGATTCCGCTAGGTTCTCCCCTCAACACCGAATCGATATGCAAACGAGTGTGGTTGTCGGAATCTGTCCAGTTTGGGTACAAGTAGAACATAAGGTTGTCGGAAACTCAGAGACGGTGCCTATCTGACGAGCCGGAATCAGAAGGCTGAAACTGGTCGTTGGCTTACGAAGGGTTTTCATCAGCCCAACCTAATATTTACCGTGTGGACATTCCCGTGAACATATTATTCCAACCAAGTTGACAAATTCCATCTTCCAAGCACACTTTCCGTCAAAAGCTTGAGTTGTTTATGCGTTCGCCAGACCACGAACGAATCAAATCGGCCAAACCTTGAGTTCAAAACAAGTCCATTGAACTGTATGTCTGGAACGCGGGATGCTTCGCATACTTTCACCATTTGCACACACAATGTGAACTCGTCTATTCGGACTGAACATTTGAGTGTGAGGCATAACCTGACCACTAGACTGTCCTTCCTCTTTCTTTTCACCGAACTTCATCCTGTGTGACAAAATCAATAACGCGTCTGACACCTAATAATTCGTCTCTTGGAATTTTTGGAGTTGGATCACAAAGAGCCGTCAGGGGTATGGGGCCGGGGTTCTTCACTGTTGAATGAAAACAGCCAATCAAACTGGGAAATTCCTTTAGATTCATCTGTTTCCTTTTCAAGCAAGCCAGTCCACATTGCCTTTTCAGACGGTTTACGCCAAACGATTGATTTTTAGTTGCAGTTTGGGGTTGTGTGGGTTGGGTATTTTGTTCATAGTCACACCACTTTCGTCTGAACGGTCGTCCTCCTGTACTGGCGTAATTATTCCGGTGAGTCCACACCGAATAGGGAAGCACTGGACTCGAGTTTCGCTCATCCTAGAGCTCATCAGCAGTGCATATCCTATGGCCGCGCCGGGATTTGACATGTGACATGCGAGGCAATCGTGTAACCGCTACTCCACCAACACACGTTGGACGCATCTGTATTTCCACGCCTGAACAGGCGAACGTGTTCACATTTGAGCGATGTGATTGGTGTGCCTGACTCATCGAACGACGACCCAGTAACTGTCCTGGTTGCGATTTTTAGTCAGTAAAACGTTCATCTAACATTTGCGCGCGCTTCATGTCGTGACCCACTCAGACACTTGTATTCTACTCAAGGAATAAAAGCTATCTTCATTGTGATGTGAGAAGGTTGAGTGACTAATACTACTCCTCATAACGTTCATCCACATCACCAACTCCACCTACTTGGGGATCAGCATTTAGGTATTTCTCTTTGATTTCCGTCCATCTTATGTCGCTTATGAGCACTACAGATGACAGGGGATAGCGGACGTGTACCTCAAATGGAAAATCTTTGATGATATTCTATTCGCATTGACAAGACCGCCTTATTGCCAGTATTGGAGACTGGATTACTTTCAACTGTGACATCCTTTCGGTTCGCGCAGGCCTAGACATTAGCAGTCCAGGTGCCTAGGTTGGTTTTGAGCCAACTTCCACTCAGTGTGTTCGCGCCTCAACCACTAGGGTATCTCGTTCCGTTGCGAGGTGGTTTCAGTTGGGATGTTCTTGCTAATCTTGCCCGATTGCTTACATGGACCCGCCCATTTTAATGCTAACTGCTAACATTGTCTTCAGTTTTTGTTTTCTTATTGCTTTGTATGAGTGTTGTGACTTGCTGAACGGTAGTGCAACTCTGTATCGGTCCCCTGGCTTCCTGCTACGCCCACTATGGTATATCAAAAGGCACGATAGTCTCAGACAACCCATTATGGAGACAAAGGAATATTATTACAACTGTATTTATGGGGTAGTCACAGAGTGTTCCACAAGGTCGTGCCAGAATCTCCGTGAGGGGGCGAGAAGCGTCGAGTTAAAGGTACTCGTTCCGGATTGGCTGGCGTTCTGACCAATCAGAGCACGCCTTCCTTTGGTCCATGTCCTGCACATGACAATGGGTAACTCCATACTTCAACTTGAAGTCTTCGTTGGTCTGCATCTCGTGAGTAGTATCCACAAAATTAGCACAGATGGCTCTTTTGAGTGATTCTTTGGCATTCTGTGGCACTCGGCTTGAGCAGTATTCACGGATATGAGCGGAAAGCTAACTAATTATTTGACTAAAGCATAAAAAGGCACTTAAATAAACAGATTATCAGGGACGGAGTGAGCCTCAACAGATGATCTTTGTGATTTGAAATGGTGTTAGGTTGGCTTTTGTCTTGCTCAGTGGTTAGAGCGCGAATTTACTGACCGCATGGTGCGCGGTTCGAACCCGACCTTTGTATCGGCTTCCCAGGATCCCAGCCCTTGTGCTTCCTTCGGGTGGCATGGTAGTTAGGCACCGAAAGGGTGTTATAATGAGCGATTTTCCGTCTTGCTCAAGATTTCCTCCTGCAAACTACTCCCAATATTAGGCTCATCAGAGTGGCGTGATTATTACGTTTCTGTCAGTTTTCCTTCTCTCCTGAACACGGAATTTGACGGTGTTTGCTCCTTATTGTCCAGTATTCGAAGAACATCCAAAGAAGCCTAAGAGGACGCTTGAGAATGTTGCGTTCTCAAAAACTCTGCGGAAATGAATTTTTTACTCTTTTTGTCTAATGTCTTGTAACCGCTTGGTTCGTGTTCACCAGTAAGTAAGTCCGCGCTGAGGGGCGTTGTTCCTTTTACCGGTATGGTCTCTTTTATATCGCCCCGAGGCAGACCTTGCATTGAGTAACTGGTTGAAGAACACCATAGATGACCACAGAACCATGTGGCTCTCACGTTAACCTCACCTCGGTTTGTCAGTGAGTTTTCGACTCATGTGATAACGATACCTCGGGGAGTAAGTCTACCAAACGACATGTTTTCAAGGGGATCGAGAGAATTGAAATTGATGCAAAAACGACTTTATACTTTCATCTATTAGGAGAACCAGCTCCGAATGATGCGGGACCAAATAACAGCCAATGGAAAAACCGTTTCGGTTGAGACAGATTTCATTGGTTGTTCTTCACTCGTCCTTGACAGATGAGTTGTATTCTTAGTATCACTTTTTTTGACCCGCTTGTACGCGACAGTGATCAATTGATTAGCCGGTTCGCACGTTCATTGACTTTTCCTGGTTTGGCTAAGCGCACCAGGCTATCAATCGGCTATCCAGACCGGGATCACGGTAATAAGAAGGCATTAAGGAGACAACATCGTCCGACTACTTAGCTGTGAAACCGTTCCTACCCATGTGAAAATCACTTGCCCGTTTCCTTCCCCGCTTCTTAGGAGTCTCCCATGTGTGTACAAACACGTGAATCGATTGCAGTCAGATCAACTACCCACAATTGCATCCGGATTCAGGCCTTTTTACACAACAGTCATTCGTCTTTAAAAGTGTTTCTAAGCCTATGAAATTCTCTACAGAATATCCGTTAGGTGGCCACTGCCTTCACTGGTAAAATGTACATAGGAGCTACTGTTGGTGGACTCCAATAGAAACGTATTTACGTTCTAACTTCGGTCAAAACTATAGGGTATTAACGTTGCCCATTCTGATCATTATGAGGAGAGGACAAAGTATTTAAGGAACATGTAGTGCGTTGTGCTGTTTGATTGGTTCCATACATGTTACCACATGTTCAGTGTTCAGTCTGCATTGTTTCAAAAATCTGCCACCGTCCGGCTCTAAGTACGTTGGTAAGGACATGTGTTGCGTACGCCGAACCGTCGGCGAATCCGTAACGAGGCAGTTAGAAAGTAAGTTTTCGGTTGTGCAACGGGTACTTCCATTGAAAAATGTGTCCAGCGCCTGAGGCTGCGTTGGTTGGGACATGTGTTGCGTAAGCCGAACCATCGTTTGCCGAAGAAGAGTGCTGTTTTCCATGCCCAATTCAGAGTGGTGTGAACAGAGACGTGGCCAACCTATGACTTGGTAGGCGAGTATGAAGTAGATCACGAAAGGTTTGTGTGCTGTCGGTGCTACTCGCCTTCCAGGATTGGGACCGCGTGATCCTCACTGTGCCTGTTTAGCGACGCTGCAAGATATGGCTGCCAACTGTTGTCAGTGGCGTTGTTGTTATCAGTTTCTATCTAGATTGCCTGAGTGAGTGTCTGGAGGTGTAGGCACCCCGAAATGATTGTGGTAAGCTATCACTAAGTCCCTTCCCCGCCCACCTTTATTCTTTTCTTTACAAATCAAATAAATTGTACGGCGGTGAAGCATCAGTGTTGAACACTGACGTCATGCTGTCGATGATGATGATGGCGAGGTGGGCTCCCAGGCGTGTTCCAATAGATGCTGAGGCAACTGTCTTTTTGCTAGCTTGCAAGAACCAGCACAGACCAAACAGAAACAAGCATGTCTAGTGTTTTAGCAAAATACACCCATCTGTATAGTTTTTCATTGGAGACCCAAGTGAATCTCTCATTAATGATTGATGTTGTTCTTCTACTATCTGTTTGACGCTCACCAATACATGGCAGTCTTAAGTTTTTTCCGAAGCTAGTCCTTGGCTGACCCCTGGTGGACCATCTTGGCCAACTCAAAATATGATCTTCAGAGGCGAAGCGCTTCACATCTTTGAACTAGTGGCTCGGGAGATTTGGGAACTCCCAGTCAAAGGTTCCATGTTGTTTACAAGGTGCCTATTGAGCAAACCAGATCGGCACAATACCGCACAATCGCAATGACTGAAGCTATTGCCATACGGCATCTTGACCTGCTCTTTTTTTCGGCAAAAACGCTTTTTCCGCGTGGTGAATTTGCCATGGTCCATCTCACCTCCTTCGGTGAACACAACCACAGCACTGCATGCACTGACAAACTCAGATCATCCTATTGTATTGTATTGTATTGTACTGTATTAAATACTGCCGTCTTATCCCTAGCAACTGGAAAGACTGGATGCTCAAGAAGCTGAATCGCTAGTTAACCAGACTTGCTGCAACAAACACGTGTTTGAGCATCCTCGTGGAATGCATAGATCACCGTTGGTACCCGAAAAAGTATTTCTCCTTCTTAAAGGCGCGTCAGAAGCAATCATGCTTTTCCAACTGAGTGCTAACGGTAATGGTGTTGCCTTGACTACGCGGAGAACTAAAAAAATATGGTTATTGGTGGATGTTGGACAAGAGAAGACCCGGTAGGAAATTCTTATCCTAGCTGATCGATCGCCCAGTAGAAGTCTTCAGGTCTTCCTTGTTTGAAATTATCAGAAACCTGCGAGATCATTCCACACCAGCCAAAACTGTCTGTCGGCTAATACTCATTCTAGCAGGTTTAAGTTCACGATTAGATGCAGATAGGTCCCCGCAGTCAGGCGTTCTCGGATGCCACTGCATGGTGAATATCAACCGTACTCATCTTTTCAACTCGTATCCTGCCCAATCAGTTGATACCCCACCACGTGAGAGCAACACGTCCCTAAGTGGACCGCCCAACAATCTGCTCCTTTTAGTGAAAGTTCACCAGCGAAACTCACGACAGGTGCGTGTCACACGAGTGACACGATTAGAAGACTAACGAATCATAAATTGAGATCTGAAAGCCACATCACAACGAATTAATCACACTGAGTGCTCGAAGTTTGCTGTAAAGCCTCCCAAAGAAGTTACGACCAAATGGTCAAATTTATCCAGGTCGTTCCTAGTTTAAATGACAACATAGTGAAGAACAATAATGTTTTCGAGGTCTCTTCCTCAGTTCAGTGAATATTGAGTGGTTAAAATAGGGGTAAATAACGAAACTTGATTACTGAACTAGGAAACGCAGAGAAATGGACAATTGGTTGTTAGCGGATCCCACGCCAGTATACTGTGAGACAGTCTAGAGGACCGTGTAACCAGCTGGTTGATCGATCGGTATCGAATGACCTAGGCATGGTCAGCGCCCATTGATCCACCGACTGAGGGATCCCTATTCGAGTGGGTCCAACTTGCAGGTGACCAGTGTATCAAGCTAGCAGGACTGAAATCAAATCTGCTCTGAACTGATTGGGCTGATGGAAGCGTCATTGCATCCAAAGCGAGTTCATTGCTCAACTGGTTGATTAATTTGTAGACAAGGTATCCACGATGCGTTGTTAGGAAATCCTTCACCTTGACGTGCTCTAATAGGGGTCGGAATAATTCAATTTCCCATATTTTAGACATTCTGAGTGATTGTCGTTGTTTGATGAGTTCATTGCTCAACTGGTTGATTAATTTGTAGACAAGGTATCCACGATGCGTTGTTAGGAAATCCTTCACCTTGACGTGCTCTAATAGGGGTCGGAATAATTCAATTTCCCATATTTTAGACATTCTGAGTGATTGTCGTTGTTTGATGGCTGAGCTGGGCAGTTTGTTTGCAAACGTTTCATCACCAATTACGGTGACTTCATCAGTGCGGTGCTAGGGGCATAGCGATGGATCGGCACGACCGCTGACCAGCTACCCGAGCTATCAACATTCTAATCAATAGCCATTCTGAGTGGTGTTCAGAGTCTACTTCTGACGCGCAAAGATTTGCCGCTAAATTGCAGTGCATTGATCTACTACTTGTTTCGACAGGGGGCTCCCACATAGACCACTAACTTTACTAACTATTCTGATCTGAGACTGTGTCACCAACTTTTACGGTATCATGAATGGACTGGTCTTGGAAATTCCCCGCTAATCAGATATAGAGTAATGTTGGCAAACGAATTCTTTGAGTTGAGTGTGGCGTCACGTGACCGTGGTTAGCAGAACTAGGCGCCGACAACTACCTGTAAGCCACACACTCCAGACAAGATTTGCTTTTTCAAGAGGACGCTTTGGATTTTTTTTCCTAGCAATGGTTTACCCTGAGAGAAAAACATCCTTGAGACTTACTTTCCGGCGTGGTCTCTGAAAAAACGCTATTTACGGTGGAATATGTTTCTCACATTAGCGAGTACTTTAAACCTACGCATTTATCGATTTATCAACCACTTTGTGTCATTTTATTGCCATTCCATTTCTGTTCTTTTTTATGTTTCATTGTAATTTTATTGTTTGTAAAGTCAAACATCCCAGGAAATGGTTTCTGACGTGATAGTGCTTGGTGGTGTCTGTTCCTAGTTGGACTGGAATAGGGAAAACTTGGTACGATTTATCGGCATTCAACCATATGGATGTTCGATGAGTCCTTGAAGGTAAATTTTCAACCGGATTCGCTACTATCCTGATCGTTCGCAGAACCTAACCAATCACAATCTTCCACCAGTTTGCAAGAGGCTATTTGTGCTAATTCAGTGTAGGAGCTAGATCAAACCGGGGGGTAGATTACTTGTTGTGCTGTGTTCGCTCCAGACAGGTGAGGGATTCAATCACAAATCGTGATGTTCAAGTTGGATTTGCCACTGAACCACGAATACGCAAAGGTGAACAATGGAGCATTCGAACCGGAAGGACCATTGTTGGCCATCGGGGTTGGAGTTGGTCGAACAGGGACAACCAGTTTGAAGCACGCTTTCGAAATCATCTATGGTCAACCAAGTTATCATGGTTTCGAACTGATCGATCGCTGTTCCAGTCAATGCGCTGCATGGCTAGAGATTGAAAGACTGCTGCTAAGCAACGGATCAATTCCTCCGAGTCTATTTCACCAAATTTATCGAGGATTTCGATCAGCGACAGATGTTCCAACTTCGTGTCATTACAAGGACCTGATGAAAGCCTATCCTGGTGTCAAGGTGAGCATCTCTTCACTGGCCTGCATCTCCATAGCTGTTGTGGCCCCTTTTTCTCACTGCTATACTGTATAATTATCAACCGGGGGCACAACAATGTTGTGAGAAGCTCCAGCTGTTGTGAACGCAACTGGTGGACAGAGTAGTACATTTTTCGCATCAGCTAAGAGCAATCAATGGGCAAATAGTGTTAGTCACAGTAAGACCGTTTTGTTGACGAACTAGTTTCCAAACCGGCACTTGGGCTTAAAAGTGTTCATGAGTACGAAATCTGTGGTCTCGTTCCGGCCAGTCGTTTATATCAACTCAAACTGCCCTCTCAGCTTTCTTGCCTTGGCAGTCATTCGTGAGTAGTGTTCTGTCAAGCCACAACTTTCCCCCTAAAATCCCATGTTGTTCTTCATCCACGTGATGACGGTCGTCAAAAAACGCATTTTAGAATCGGATTCATTCCAATTTGCTGCACACCACAAATGAATGTTCAGGATGATAAAGTGTCTTGATTTTTAGACGTAATACACTACTCACAAGGTTGCTGAAAACTCTTTGACAGCCCAGGACCGGTTTCGCTCTTCTTGAGGCTCACAGAATTGCCCGTAATATTGATATGGATGTCATCGTTGCGAAGTACCTATGGCACTTTTGAAGTGCTCACGTTCTGGATGACTTTTATCAGATTGATTTGCCATCGATTTGTGACATCAGTAGTCCCAAAAAATGAAAATCGCAGATCTCGACGGTAACATCTTGCAAAAAAGACCCGCTTGGGGATAATTTGTTTACATGTAGCTTACATTCGAGGAGACGGTCCTCTCAGCATTGTGTCTCCTAAGCGGAACGATTTGTTTTGCACGTATCGAACATCCTGTTTGAATCTCGATTTTGGCGTCACAATTTCATTGCCATAGGTTTAACCAATCAGGATCATGCAGATTCCGTTGGCTTTTATTGATCCAGTCGACCATCGGCATCATCCTGATGACCCCCAAGAAGGGGGAAACCGGTCTTGGGCTGTCCGAGAGTTTTCAGCAACTTTATAAGTAGTGTACTATGTCTATATATGTATCCTGAGATCTCAAATACCGTACCAGCGATCTGGTGCGGCGCATTCAGCTGATTTAAAACAACATGAACGAAAAATTCAGTTGAGTTTCAGGTGAGTATCCCCGTCAAAAAGAAATAAGTATGCCAATGAGCGTGATTTTTTCGTTTCAGAAGAGCATGGTAAATAATTAGTAGTTTTTATTTGGGCAACGTTTCGCTTTTGACACAAAAGCTTCATCAGGTCAAGTGAACAGGTCACTAAGTTGGCCGGGTTTTAAGGCAGACGGAGAACCAATCAGTAAGTCATCTTCAGATTATCACACTAGATCAGTGTTGAGCGTCATCTAACGGCTCTTGTCGGCTAGCGTGGTTGCCAAAATCTTGAATTGATGGGTTGGAGGAGTTTCAAATTAGCTCCAATCGCTTTTTGTTTCTTACTCTTCCACTTCAGGGTGCTGCGCTTGATGATTCACCTCGGGTGCCACTGGTAGATTTTTCTTGATCTTCGTGGGCATGTGAATAAGGCGACAACTTAGTTGGGGTGGGAGGTGCGTAAGGTTAATTGGAATCCAGATGATGACCACTCTCCCCTCTGATAATCGCACCACGCTCGAGTGACCCAAGACCGTTCTGCACACGCTTGCCAGTTCCACACCTTCTATTCTGTTAACACTGGGAGGCTTGGCGATTTCTACCGCCTCGGCGATCAGTCTGTTTGATGTGGGCCGTAGTCCTCGCCTCAAAAGCTCAACATTTTCTAAATCACGTGTTCAGTGCGTGTTCCGCAATCGCCGAGTCTTTCAGTAACGCTCAATATTCATCTGCGTTTCTCGGCGGCCTGTTTATTTTTCTACTATGCCCTCCGATTCTGATGTGTAGTTCGGCTTGATTTTTGTTTTTACAGTTCACGGTCCATCCTAAATGTTCATCACTGCTGGGCGCATCCATCTCTTCAATACTTTTGAATGCCCAGTCCAAGCTTTGTCCTGTAAGTAAAACCAATCTGTGCAGGCCTGAAGAACGATAATCCAGATGTGAAAGGCTTCGACGTGCGACGCGTTGCATTGCCACGAAACAAGCGAGCCATTCGAAAGAAGCATCACATTTGGAACTTGCGCAACATACAGACACATGTGCCTTGACAGGATTAGCCTTTTGGGTTACCAGCTTACTCAACCGTTCACTTGCTAAGCATAACCAACTGGAGCCCAGATGAGCTTGGACCATTTTCCAATCAGCGCCGCCAGGTTACCCTCTGCTACCTTGGTGGTGCGTTAATGGGCAGCTCCCGCTCCGTTACCATGCCGGGAAGTAGTACACTGAAAAATAAAGAGCATGGTGAATGAAGCCTGCATATCGATGATAAATGAGCAACTGATGCCGATGCCCACTGTTGGACGATCATGCTTTAGCCAGATGATGACTTGCTACAGGCCTCTGCACCTTCCCCCGCCAATCTAAACGGTACAAATAGCTTGAATGAAGCACCGCATCTGGCTTCCCCAGGTGGCTCTCCTGATACGCACAAGCCCCCAATGACTTGACTGTTGTTTTCCCGCAAACCCGCTTATGAGATCATCTGTTCACCATGAATGACTTCCGTGAGAGTAAAACGCATAATAGTTTCTTGTAATGAGGCTACCGGGTGTAAGGTATCAAATCAATATAGAAAGAAAGAAAGAAAGAAAGCGTTCAGCTGTAGCACCCTCCCGGTGCCTAGCTGCCATGCCACCCGAAGGAAGCACGAGGGCTGGGATACTGCCAGGTTGCCCAAGCCTAGACAGGGGAAGTCGAGAGGCGGAGGTCGGATTCGAACCACGGACCTTCCGATCAGTAAATTCGCGCTCTAACCACTTGGGCCATCCCGCCCCAAATCAATATATACCAGGCTCTGAGGGTTACCGATGTGACCAAGCCAAGATGAATATTCAGAATTTCTTAACTTAAGCACGTCATGCATTGTTTTAACGATAGTGACGTCCACTTATTTCAATGGACCTTGAATGACCGTGTATAATACTTGTTCTGTCATAGATTATCCTGACTGTTCGGGATCCCCAAGACTGGTTAGCCAGTGTGAGGCAGACACTCCTGACACGCAGACCACCATTCCCAACCAACTGGTTCAATGAGATGGCCATTCGCCTGTTCATCGGTTTCGATTGCTTCAAACTGGTGAACTGTTTGTTTGACCGCATGTACGGTTCACAAGCCGACCGTGACGATGATCAAAAACTCCTGGTCGCCTACGAACGATGGAATCAGGAGGTGAGGCAGACAGTCCCGGCAGATCAGCTCCTGGTCTATGATGTCCGACAAGGGTGGGAACCCTTGTGCACGTTTTTGAAAGTCCCCACTCCGAACAAGCCATTCCCGTGTGTAAATGATCGGAAGGTTATGCTTGCATTGAGGAACAAAGTGTACCGACTGACGGCAGTAATTCAATATACTGTTGCCGCTGCTGTTTGTCTTGTGGCCTGCTATGTGATTCTCCGATAACGGATTTCATTTTTACAAGAGAACAATCGTTAAAACTAAGTTTCTTAGTGAATACCAGTTTCTCAA